TACTACGGATTTTATCTAGTAGTGTTTGCGTAAATATAAGAAATCATTATAAAATGGTATAATTTATACATGAGTAGAAGATATACAAAATACATATTTGTTTTGTACATCACAGAAAAAGAGTAATACTCCTATTCAGTAATAAGCTTAACCGTCGTTAGGGATTTAAGTTGACATAATGGTGAAATATGTTCAGCTACTTGAAACATATCCATCCTTTGATCAAGCATTACTTAAAAAGAGGGAGTGAACATCAATCACCCGTCGTGATCCCGAGTGAGTGAGAAAAGCAATGCCAGTTCGCTTTAAATCGATTTTACAGCCACATGAATACAAGTGGTCTCATTAATCAAAACTTTTTTTATAGGATAGGGTGACAAACGAGCACACGATCCACCTGATGGTAAGTGGTTCCTGTGACCCATATATATCTACATTTATCCTTAATAAAGAATCATAATGCAGATGCATCGACACCCGTGAGGACGAAGATGGAATGCCTCTTTTCCAGTAAAATGGGTGTACCGTTCTCTACAGCACCATACGAAACACAACAGTGTCAAGCTGCCATTTTACGCTGGTATTCTGTGAGAGCGTGGTCCTCCCCCGATCGAGCCGATCCATATGTGCTACAATATACTAAACAACATAAACTTCTATAACTAACGTTTGCACTGTAATATGATTGTAGTTGATGACAAGACAGATGAAGGCTTATAATGATATATTGTGTCGTTATAAAGTAGACGTGGTTGCCCATCTTCTGATTTGTTTCCCTTTGTCGCCTCTTACGACACCCACGGGACGATGTGGGGTAGAGGATATTCTTACACATCCACTACTCGGTAAATTAATCTATACAACAAAAAAACAAAATTAAAGTGTCTGTCTATAATATGGAAATAGCTGACTTCTATTAAGCTCAAGGAGTTCTTTGTGTGCTATTAAAAAATATATAACAATCTTTAAAAATTTTGTCTGTCTGTTCGGGCTAATCTACAAATCACTGAACATTAAATGAAACTTTATGAACAGATAGAGAGCTATACCAGGAGGGATCTACGCTATATTTTATCCGAAAAACTTTAAGATTGTTTTTAAAAAACGAAAAATAGTTTAAATATTCTGAAATCTAAATATCGCTACATTCATAGATCCTGTCCAGGCGAAACCGGGGCGGGTCGCTGGTACAAAATAAAACGGTTGACGTTTTTCATACTACAAACATTCACGTTTTATCACGATATTAATCTCGGGTCTTACATCAGTGCGTGCATTCTGTACGTTCTGGTTCAAGCTCACTCCTTGTACATTTTATTGCTCTATTGTTGGAGCACGTGAGTGATGGCCGCAATACCTCATGTGATTGGGCTCAGTTGCTTTTGTTTACTGACACACATCTCAGGGAATGTTTGGTTTGAATGGTGAGAATATATAATATTTTTATCGTTATAATATACCTAACAGTACAAAAATTTGAGAAAATAGCACAAATAATAAGGGTGTGAAAATGAGTTACTATTAAGAATAAAAATTAATGAATTAATTTTTCTTAAATATAGCGAAAAAGTCTGTAATTTTATATGCTCAAAGAACTTGAAAATAGTACAACAAACAAATATTATGATAAACAAAAAGTCCACATATGTTGTGCTCATGTAATTATAAAAGAAAAACCAAAGTTTTAAAATCTAAAAAGAATAAACATTTTGGTTTTTTTAATTCTTATTTTATTTCATATTATTTAGAAAATTTCTTACTTTACAAGATGACAATGACGGCCTTATCTTACGTTAACGTAAATTCAGATAAAAATAACTTAAATTGTAATAAAATTCCGCGCATTATTACTCTTCTAATGAAGGGCGTTTAGGTTAAAAAGTTACATCGTGTATTCTGTTATGTACTAAGGACACGAAATAAAAAATTATGTTATGCTATGATGCACATTACCTTTGGGTGTGTGTAAATTTAACATAGTATCACATTATTATTTCAATTTGAAAAACAAATGTGCTATAGGCTTCTACTTTATTCACCTATTACACCCTACATTTTTCAGCCGTCGAAAAAGTCTGCCGGTATGTGTACTCAATAAGTCTAGTCTAGTCTGCAGAGAGATCAGACGTTGGAGCAACGACTTAACGTGCTCTATTAGGTGCGAGGGTGAACTCCTGGATGCTACTGAGAATTTTTCGACAGAAAACGCGGGACCTCATTATCAGCAATCACGCTTGCGACCATTAGACAAGTGAGGCAATCAAATTTTCTTTTCTTATAAAAACGTTACCCACAGTATGATTTTTCCCTGTATGTATAGGCAGTTCAGATACATACATTGAACAAGGACAAACATTAGAGACCTATAAAATTTACTTATAGGCCATACAAACACTTGCTCCGTGGAAGATTCGAACACGCGGCCGTCAGTGTCGTACCTCAATGATAAGCAACTGCGATACGCAGTATTATTATTGTATGTACGTAACAAATAGATTTAAATATATAGTCACTACTACTACTTAAATGTCTTTGGTACGTAAAAATAAGAACATTGGTCCATAGAAATATATAAGATGTAACAAAAACCTGTGGTTCCCGTTAAGTGCGTTATCAGAAAAAGTATTTTAAAACGTATAGATATAACTTTACTTCAGAAAACTTGAGCATTAAATATTAAATTAAATTTAAATATATTATATTTGCAAATCGTATGCGGGTTTATTACATCTGCAATGGCCGGGGAGTAAAGTATTGTCAAAGACCTCGCTTTATCGATGCGCGTGTATGTTACAAGTAATAAAACCATAATATATACATTGCAAACAAAAATGTATTTAAATTAAATTTAATTATTTTATGGTTGACTTTTCTCAAGTATTGTTATTTCTATACGTTTGAATACTTATTCTCATAGCGCACTTAATGGAAACATCAGGGTTTTTGTTATATCTTGTATAACTTAACCTAAAAATTTATTTAAAACATAAACACACTCGTATAACACTAATTAGGGAACTTTATTCTTTGGCGCGTCCCTGTATCGGTTAAACAGTACGCTCCAGGGGCACGAAATCGTATATATTCCATCTTAGTCTTTAGGGGTGACAACGCATCTGCATTTTGACTCCTAATCGATGATAGGAGCAGATGTGGAATCATTTGTCACCCTATCTTTGATAAAAAATTACAAAGGATTATCTTTTACACAAAAGAGAATCCTTTTAATAAAACGCCTCTTATCATTAGTATTCCTTTTTGACATAAAGTAAGTGCTTTAAGTATACGGTAGAGTCAAGATTGCTATAGCTGAGTGAATCGCGTTTTTAATATATGTAATAGTACCTCTTAGCTCAGAGCTGTGCAACATGGAATAAGAGATTATAATCTTACTGATATAGTTAATTTTAATGATTTAGCGGAATTTGCAATACTGGCATTTATTATGATATATTTAGTGAGCTGCTAAATTAAAAAAAAATGGGTGTAAATTTTAAATTCAAGTATTTTGGCAGAATTTGATATCATAAATGTAGAAAGAATTACGAAAAATAGAATAGAGGAACGTTCAGTTTCATACTATATACATAATAAGACGATAGATCTGGTGATCATGAAAACCTTCATATTTTTACGCGAATACTACACATTAAATGAAACAAATTTTCTACCGACTTCAAAAAGGAGCCGGTACTCAATTCGACTGTATGTTTTTTATGTGTGTTACCTCACAATTAAATAAAAACACTTCAATATTATTTATAGTTATAGATTATTAAGTTGAAACTCAAATCGGTTACGTTTTTGTTAAAATAAATTACTGCCGGAATTTCCATATTGAAAAACATGACCTTTTGTGTATTGGATATATATATACAGAATGGGGTCCCACATATATGCAATAAATAAAACCAGATACTTGTTATGGCCTTTGCTGACGATATACAAAAAATGAAAGTAATCGGTCTAGTAATTAGGTCAAAAAGTAGAGTTTTAATTTTAAGCAAATTTGAACTCTCTATAGAATTGTGTCACTAAGTCAATGATTCAATGATCTTGAATCCTTGAACATTAAAAAGCTACGTTGCCACGCAGTGCAAACTATTGGTATTGCCACAGAATAAATAATAGTACTAACGTACAGAAGTTGCACTCTTTTGATGTTGACTGCTTGCCGACGTTTTAATACATAGGCTGCACTAAAAGTATCGGGAACGGAATATTTCCACTGTTATTTCATATTAAAATCTTTTTAATTGAAAACTCCTTGGTTTTAAAAATCGAATACCATTTATTTATTTAAAAAAAGATTCTCGGTCTTGTCACAAGGTTTTGTCAAACTTGTTTAGTGGTTGAGAAAATGGAATTGACTCGAGAAAATTCAAGAGCGATGATTTATTATGACTTTCGAAGTGGTTTAACACAAAAACAGTGTGTTGACCAAATGATTTCTGCATTTGGTGATGAAGCCCCATCCAAAGCCACAATTTATCGCTGGTTTGCTGAATTTCAACGTGGACGTATCAAGCTCAGTGATGAACCCCGTCAAGGTCGTCCAAAAACTGCAGTCACGTCACTGCGTACTTATCGTGAGAGATAAGACGCAACTCGTGTCTGCCCTACTAGCGTCCGGACAATCCTAGGTTTTGTCCAAAGAATCAGAGAAAATCAGCGTATAGTAACCCAACTCTCATGAAGGAGTTGCTTCGCGTCACTTTCCACCCTCGTTCGAACAACGAGTCTTAGACCATTTCGATTGGAATCCAACCTGCAGCCTTAGACACTGCTCAGCTGGGCGTGTGTTTAGAGTGAGGCATAGAACAATACACCGAGTGCTGAAATTATTTAGGGAATCAGCTCATCAATACTGATTTTTCATTATTGTTTGGGCAGGCATTAACGGAGATCAAATAATCGGCCCTATTTTTATTGACGGAAACCTACACTCACGGCCCAATAACAGAATATTCAGAAGGATTTTCTGTGGCAGCTTACCAGAGGGTATGGTTCGAGTTGGATGGAGCTCCCCCACACTCCGTACTCCTCGCGAGAGAACGGCTTAACACCATGTTTGGCGAGCAATGGATAGGGCGTTATGGCCATCGCAGGTGGCCAGCTCGATCGCCCGACGTCACTCCTCTAGACTTCTTTTTATGGAGCTTTATTAAAAATGAAGTGTAATCAAAGATCTCCAAAACCGAAGATGAACTGCGGAATCGTATTTTTGCCGCCTTTGACAAATTAAAATCCCTGGGTTTGGATCCTGAACGAAATTTGCTGAGCAGGCTTCAGAACATTATGCGGCGATGTAACTTGTGCATTCAAGACGTGGGGTACATTTTGAAAATTTTAAAATTTAGTGCTCCATTAAATTTTGCTACTAACATGCAATAATATTTATTTCGTTCAGTTCCATTTTCGCGAAATAAAAAAGTGGCGGTAAAATACCTAAACAGTTTAGTGAGTAAGTTTTTATTTCGTCGCACGTTGTCCAAGGAATCAAAGGTCGTACCGACAATAACGCTGCCTGCCGCCAACCGCCATGCCACCCGCGTGCAACGTTGCCACTCTTCCAAGGGTCAAGGTACGTAGTCTAAACAGTGTTTACTTATACTGAATTTATTTTAATATTTATTTTGTTTGAAAATTTTACTTTTTTATTTTACGGGTTTTAATTTAATATTTAATTTTTCTACACTTCTATGGACTAGTATTACTTGTGGTTTCATTTATTGCATATAACGTGGATTCTTTACTGTAAATATATATATGCCTTTCGACCGGCGTCATAAATTAATTTAGAAAATATATTAAGTTTTTTCGTTCCAGCATGATTTTTAATGTGAGGTCGCCTTGTAGCTACATCGGCTTAAATTTGTTCAACTCATCAAGGAATCTTATCTAGTTATTAATTTTATTAATGACCTCGGAGCAATTTTAAACTTGACTTTGTTGCCAGTGACCACTTGATAATTTAGTAGAATGTAGGCATTCGTTTCCTCGTGCAAGTTTAGCACAAAGGGCTGTCTGTAATGCCTTAAGTAAATAGTAAAAAAAACAATAAACAAATATTGTTATTTCAATGGTGGTGGTATTCCATCAAATAAAAAATCTTAATTAAATTTAAAATTGAATAAACAATTTTATGGAATACAATTGCTTAAAACCGCTAGTTTGTTAATTTTTGATAGTGGAACGTAATATTCATAAGCCAGAATCTATGTAAATTATTTGTGGCAAAGGCCAGAGATTTCAAGCAGCTGTTACACACAGAGTATATAAGTTGCATAACAGTGGAGTATCATTTGATTATTATCCTTTTAAAATGACTGTCTTATGAACAGCATAGTTATTTTGAAGTAATTTACTGATTTATAATAAGTCCAAGGCTAAAGTTGTAACACAAAGGGTTCGAAAGCAACACGCTCACATAGAATACCAGTGTAAAATAGCAGTTTAATGCCGCTGTGTTTCGTATAGTGAATGTAGAGAACCACAGACGCTATTAACTCGAAACGTCCACTTTCATAGAGAGACAGAAAGAGAATAATTATTGTCATACAAATAACCCCCTCTCAGTTCAATATAAGTTTATCGATATTTAAGACAGAAACTTCAATTTTATTTACAATTTTATTTCAATTTTATTTCATTTATCTATCCGCTTAACGCGTATTTCCTCTCTTTTTAACGTCCTTGAATAGAATTTATGTAATTTGACGGTCGGCAAAGCCTCATTCGTTAAACCGCAGTGTAACCCGCGTGCAAGTGAGGATGATATTTAGATAACAATTTAATATGTTATGTTTGTGTGAAATATTTTATCGTTTTTAATTTTAATTTTAATTTTACCTCAATACTAGATATTTCTCTTGTATCGTATAGGCGGTTAACGTACATGAATTGGACACAGACAAACTTCTAGACCAGGAACAATTATAGATGTGGTGCGGAATTCAAGCCCGCTCCCCGCAACACTGCAGCCAAGTGTTACAGCTACCATAATACAATTTACAAACGACAATATTAATAAATATAAAATGGTGTAAATGCAGCTGGTAAATAAAAATAATAAAAAGAACTTTATAAATTTAAATTAATGCATATAAATGATTTAATTTTTTCCGTGAATTATACATTAAATAAAAATAATTGCATCGCAATTGCATTGCATTTAACCAGTATATGCTGATCTTGCATTAGTAGGATGTCACTAGTACGTGGAGGTCTATTTCCAATGAAATATTTTTAAGGTCATTGACATTATACGCGAAAAAATCAGTCGGATCTACTATGCAGTACCTTTTGACTTCTTGACTGGAAATAAATTTAAAAATATTTGTAAGAGAAAAATACTTTTTTGTTAACGTAAGGTGCACCTCCACTCGAACGTACGCGTGACAGCCTCACTGAATTAGTTCTCGGGGGAGGTTTAAATTTATCAGTAAATTTGTCAGAGGATATAATAGTAATGATGATTGCGATGACTGCTGGGTATGAGTCTCTCTAAATTAAGAGGTTTCGATAAAGTGGCATAACTCATTTAAATGTTTCCATTGACTATGAAAGTGCTAGATAAAATTTCTTAGTCTTCAATAATTGGCAGTACATCAGTGTTATAGATAGATTTCCTACGGTTTTCAGGACGAATAAAAATCGCTTGTTATCTCGACAGCGAGGCAGCTGAGGGCAAGGCAGAGCAAAGTAATTCCCGTTTTGATTTGTTCTTCCTTTTTCTGGTACGGCCCGAATATCGAAAGAATCCCCAGCTATTGGGCACGATATTTATACGTTTTCTAGTGACTTTCTAGAAACTTATTTGCCTCACCCCCTCTAATGGTAAGTGGTTACTGTGGCCCATAGACATCTACATCTATAATCGTTTGCGAATCAAAATGCAGATGCGTTGTCACCCGTGAGGACTAACATAGAATGCCTCTTTTCCAGTAAAATGGGTCTCCGGTTATCTATAATCACCACACGAAACAGCAGCATTAAGCTGTTATTTTACATTGGTCTTCTGTGAGAGCGTGTTCCTTCTCCGGTCGAGCCGACCCATTCGTGCTACAACTATTAATATAGCTGCAGCATGGCTCTACCACGTAAGATTTAAGGTATTTTCCTTATATTAAGTCTTAGCTTACGTTATGCTACTTATATTAATACATACGTGTGCACTCTGCGCCACTCAGTATAGAAATGACAACGCAAAATCGGGAGCACTCTTCAAATACCACCTCGCTCCCCGCTTCACTTCTATATAAGTACGCCCTAACTCATCCGCGCGACCCCTTTCCCTAATGCTTCCTCTACACTACTCGTGAAGTAACTTCGACGAAGTGCTCGTCGAAGTCGATCGCAGTCCCAAGAACGTGACCACAACTCGTGCTACTTCGCGAAGAGCTCAGTCGTCTTGATACTGCCGCACCCTTAACACGAATGACGTTCAAGAGGCAGCTGCTATAGGTACCAAATTGTGTGAACACTACGACGTCAATGCGTTAACTAAATAAATAATTATGTAGAAAGCTACATATTTAATATTTATATATAAAGAATATTCATAACTGACTGAGTAGCCGAGTAGTGTAGAGAGACGCTTCGTGTAACTTCGGGGTACTTCGCAAAGTCCTTTGACTCTGCGCGAAAAACCGACAGCGATCGGAAGTCGCCCGAGGCGAAGCGAGGTTGGACTAAGTGGATCGAAGTACCTCTCTACACTATTCGCCTCGTCCAACTTCGATCTACTTCGCTAGTAGTGTAGAGAATGCATAAGGCGGGTCGCTTCCAATACGGCAGAAAGGCCCCCCAGGCCAAAACCAGTCCCAGGTGGTGTTTAGTGGGTAGGCACTTAGGTTTCATAGTGAGTCCCACTTAACCACGCAGCGGGCTGCGTGGTCTGCTTAGAGCATTCACCACATCCCTCCCCCGCTTCCAGGAGGGTAGCCCTTTACTTTGCTTCTGGGCGCAATAAAAAAAAACGCGCGCGACCCAGTCCACAATGGAGTTCCCGAGTTCCCGGCGCCCCTTTAATTCGGCAGGGGTGCGAAGAATCTCCGGGAGAAAAACTGGCGACGAGGTTCGTCCCGTCACGTCCTGTCTCCCGGGGGGGCGAAAAGTGGATTGCGGAGGCCCGTCTGGCTACGCTGAATGTATGTGGAGCAATGAATGATAAGATGGATAAAGTATGCGAAATGATGAATGGTAGAGGAATAGATGTGTTATGTGTGAACAAGACGAAACGAAAGGGAAGAGATGTCACTGCACATGGCATGTATACCGCTTACTGGTCTGGAGTAGACGAGACCGAGGGGGCATGCCAGGGAGTCTGTGTCATCCTTTCAGAACGAATGGGTCAATGTGTGAAAGAGTATGAATGTGTTAGTCCAAGGCTGCTGTGGATACGAATGAAAGTGGGCTTAAAGAAGTTGTTTGTGCTAGGAGTGTACGCCCCAGATATGTCTAAGCCCACTTATATCCGAGAGCAGTTTTGAGACATGGTATGGTGTTGATGAAATGTAAGGAAAATGAAAATATTATTATGTTAAAATATTATTATGAAGGGTTGGGGTGAAGAGGTCTGATTATGAAAGGATATTAGGAACGTTTGGCGATGAAAGAATAAATGATAATGGTGAAGATCTCCTCACCGTATGTGTAGAAAATAATCTTTTTGTGGCGAACATTTTCTTTCGCCATAAGAGGATTCACATGTATACATGGGAAAGAGGGGATGATAGAAGCATGATAGATTTTATAATTGTGGATGAAAGAATGAGGAGCGCAGTGGTAGATACAAGGGTTTACCGGGGGTCCAACGTAGGGACGGATCATTACTTGGTCTTATGCCGAATTAATGGTCTATTCAAACGTTGGCGGCATCGGACATCTGTGTCTACCACTGCGTTACAGCGTATAAGAATAGAGAGGTGACAAGATGAAGGTGTGAAAGAGAAGTATAAATGCAGACTGAGGTAAAATAATAAAGGGGGGTTGAATGAATTATGTATGAATGATTTAGAATTGAAGAATGTATGGAATAATATTAAGAAAGTTTTGGTGGATGCAGCCACCGAAGTATGTGGTGTAAGTAAGAGAACGAATTAAAGGAAAAGTAATACGTTGTGGTGGGATGATGAGGTACGGATGGAAGTTGAAGCAATGAAGAGAGCATGGCTAGA